AAAATCAAAATGAGAACTCGGAAGTGAGGAGTACTTGTCAAATTGAAGTGTTTGTGTTGAATGGATTCTGGGAGAGGTATCCCGTAAATACTAAGATATAGGAATCTCAGAAGTCTGAGTTAGAAATGCGGTGAGTTAGTGAGTGAGAAGAAGTCTGAAGAATCCAGGGAAGGCAGAGGGGAAGAGGAGGTGGGCTAGGAAAAAAAATAAAAAAAAGGCAAGAAGCCAATGGGCTATAAGGATAAAGTACTAAGGTGTCCTCTGCCTTTCCCCACTGGCATAAATGTTTCCCCAAAGTTGTGCTGTTACAGTGGGGATCAGAGAGTTGCTTCATTTGCAGTAAATCTGAGAGATGAAGGACCAATTCTGCAATTTTTTTCTTGAGATTCAATATTTCTAGATGTGTCAATATCTTTAAGATATTCACCATTCCTTTAAAAAATAAGTAAGCTATAATATTAAAAGCTGAATATGCTAATTAGACAGGACATCCTTCTAGATGACCTTCCGGACAAAGCCATGGCTTCAAGGGAAGCCTGGGTCCCAGGTGCCTGCCAGCAGCTGGAGAAAAACCCAGGTCCTGGGTGCCAGAGGGAAGCCGGTGCCCACAGCCGGGGGAAGAAAGGGCTACGCTTACATGAATTTTGTGCATCGGGCTCTAGTTAACTATAAAAAGAAAATAAGAATAAAAGGGAATTGTATAAATATTTCCTACACTCTATTCAAATATCCCATGTGATGGTAGAGTGGATGAAGGAAGCTGTAAAATAGGAGTCAAAGGATCACTCACTTCTAAAAGCCCTTCATCAGCTTCTCACCAACCAAGAGGAAACACCAAGGTTTTCACCGTGTCTGCAATGCCCTTATAGATCTTTCTTCTGCCTCCCTCTGTAACCTCCGGCACCTCTCTTCCTCTCTCACACAAGTCACAGAGAACACCCCAACACAACCGCCCTGCTAGTCACTCGCTATCCATTTACTCATTTTATTTTTATTTATAGCATTTGTAACTATCTGAAACTTTATATATATATATATGTATATATATATATATATATATGTATGTATATATATATCAGAAGAAATGCACACGCCCATGTTTATATTTAGACATATACATAAATATGGGTGTGTACAATTAATAAATTAATAAATTCTTGTCTTTCTCGCTAGAATTTGAATTCCCTGGGAGCAAGAACTTGATCCACCTTATGGGCTTCTTTCCAGCATCTAAAACAGCACCTGATATACCACAGGGCTCAGGAAAGGCTTGTTGGATGAAATCCAGAGTCAATCTGAGCCTCCTGGTTCTGTCACGTGTGAAATGGGGACAGTAATCCACACCTACTCTGTCCACTCTTCAGACAATAAAATGAAATTTGCCAAAGCACTTTATAATGATGTTTCTGGACACAAAAGAAAGCTGTGGGAGCAAACACACACACAAAGGCATGAATTGTTAATGACAGCCTGGAGCATAAATGCTTAGTTCATACTTGCTGGTTCTATTTTTATTTATAATAGAAAACATGCCTGAGAAATATTATTCCAACTATGCGATATCCAAATACCTGAAAGAATACGCAGGATCATACTCCTTAGGAAACAAAAAACAAACAAAAAAACAACAAAACTCTGAGATTGGGTTAGCTGACTTGTAAGCCAATGAAGCAATTTAGTTTCTGAAAAAGAATTTTAATTAGAAAAGATCAAAACTAAATTCAGTGTTTGGGGCTGAATGATGTCTCCCTGAATTCATTTAAGTCCTGACCCAAAGCCCCTCAGAATGTGACTGTATTTGAAAACAGGGTCTTTAAAGAGTTAACTGGGTTAAAATGAAGTCATTACGGTGGCCTTAATCCCAATAGATGCCTGGCTTCCTTATAAGAAGAAGAAGTGAAAATGCACTCAATCAGAGGAATTAAGACAGGAAAGACCATGTGAAGATGTACGTAGGGAGAGGGCGGCCATCTCCAAGCCAGAGAGGCTTCGTAAGAAATATGGCTGCTGACACCTTAGTCTCAGGCTTCCAGGCTCCAGAATGGTGAGGAAATAAATTCTGTTGTTTGAGATACATGATCGGTGGTGCTTTGTTCAAACAGCCCTGGAAAACTAGGACACTGAGTCATTTAGAAATTAAGAGAAAAAAATCACTGGAAAAGCATTTCATAAAAATGGGGTAAGCAAACAAAAATAATCCTTATACATGTTTGATTTTATTTTTATCATTTGTATTGAAACACTAACTTAGAGTTGTCTAGTATAAATTTGAGTTGTCCAAGTCTTAAATCAATCCAGTTTCCTCACCACACCTCCTATTCTTGTTGAGAGCCTACCCTCCACAGAATGGTCACAGAAGGTGTATCTAGTGCAGAGCTAAGAACGAGGTGTTCAGTTCCTTTCAGGTTTAGGTCCATCACAAACTCTAATTTTTTTTAACTAGTAGGAATACAAGTTTAAAAAGCAACCACATCACAGCAACTCACATAGCCTATCTCAACTTCTCAGGAAAATATCCATTAAAATATAAAATAAACATGCAAGTTCCCTATTCTACACTCTAGGTGGAATTTCTACCATGTCTGATACTATTGGTCTTATAGTAGGAAGATACACTGGAGTCTAGAAGGTGTGGCCTCTAAAACACCAAAGGCAGGATCAGAGGCAGAAATATCCTTTCTTTATGAATTTGATGCCAGAGTCAGAAATACAGTTGACTCACTCATGTCAACCCATGAGTCCCGTCACTCCCAGGTTGATCCTCATCTGCATCTTTTTTTTCCCCCCATCTCAAGTTTTAATTCTGGTAAAATACACATAAAATTTATCATCTTAACTATTTTTTTAAATATATTTTTATTAATTTCAGAGAGGAAGGGAGAGGGAGGGAGAGAGAAATATCAATGATGAGAGGGAATCATCTATTGGCTACCTCCTGCACGCCCCCTACTAGGGATTGAGCCTGCAACCTGGGCAGGTGCCCTTGACCGGAATGAACCCAGGACCCTTCAGTCTGCAGGCCGACACTCTATCCACTGAGCCAAACTGGCTAGGGCCATCTTAACTATTTTTAAGAGAACAGATCAACAGTTTTAAATGTATTCACAATGTTGAGCAACCAATCTCTAAAACTTTTCATTTTGTAAACTGAAACTCTATACCTATTAAGCAGTAACTGCCCATTTCTCCCCACAGGAACTTCCACATTCTTGGAAAATCCTCTGAAGTCATGGATGAACCTCTTGAGTGTCCTCATCACTCCTTGGTGACATTACCCTGAGCCCAGGAGGGCACCTTGGGGGAGGAGGTGGTCAGGGTAGAGAGGAGGGGCGGGCTGAGGCTGAGTCGCTGGTCATTTATGGCTTCTCATTGCTCCTGCAGAACACTGGCAGTGTGTGCTTACTGATATGCTGGGAGGCCTGGGTTCTCACTGCACCAGATCACAAAGGACTTCTATCTGCAGCCTACGACGCTGCCACTGAAGCTATAAACCTGGCCTCAATGGCCTTGAGACCCAGCATTGACTTGGCTTACTTATCGGTAAAAGTCCTTCCAGACATCTGTTTCCAGAATAGGGAGGTTTCGTCCATGCTGAAGATCTGCTCTGGCAGGTATCGATAATTTCCCTCCACAGTCAGCTTAGCCAGAGTTGTCAAAAATCCTTCAGCTGCCTTCTCACCGGCACCTGCTGACTCAGCACTCACTTTCCCATTACGTAACGAGTAACAGTTCTTGAACTGTGTAAACCACCCAGAACATCAGTAAACTCATCATCTAGCCAGGTCCAGCCTAATCATTCAAGTCTGCAAACAAACTTTCCGCTTTGGCCGTAATGGTCCTGGTGCAGAGAGGGACACACTGCTGTGTGTGGTCCTCCCTCCAGGACATGAGAAGTCCCCCCATGTCTGACACAGGCCCTTCTCTAACTTTGGTTAAATCTCATTGCCTTCAATGAAGCAGATATTTTAATAGCTCCTGTCACTTTGTTCCGTTCTGAGAGATCGTAGCAATGGTGGCACAGGGAATGCCTGACTGGAAAGCAATAGCCACCAATAATTTTCTACCTTCATAGTCCTTCCTCACTTTAATTTTCACTTCAATCAGTCCACATGGCCTCTTACTGGCAACATTAGTGGTGGGTTTTGTATGCTTAGGGGCACAATGACTGGAACAACATGAAAATAAATCAAGCACAAGAGAGAATGATGTAACCAGGAGATATGTGGTAAACACAGGATGTATGAGGCTGTTTCGAGCATAGCACAGCACAATTTCCCAGCAACCTTTTTTTTTTTTAATGTAAGTACAAAGAGTACACTCTAAAATAATAATAAAAAGTATACTATAGTTTATGCCTAAACCCGTAACATAGTCAGTTATTGTCATTATCAAGCATTACAGACCGTAACTTATATGCAATATACTTTCATGTGACTGACAGTACAGTATGTTTTTAAAAATATCATCACAAACAGAGAGCAAGGCATTGAACAGTGACATTATGACACCATTATTACAACAGCATCAGGCAATAGAATATTTTCAGCTTGATTATATGGGCTCACCATTGTATATGGCTAAACATCATTAGGCAACACGTGATTATATAATTTCAGGACATTTATAAGCCTCTTACGTCCATCTGTGACTATTGCATTATAAAGGCTGCAAACTTTGTAAGGCCTGAAATTTGGTATCAAAATTCTAATAAATGCTAAATACCAGGAAATACTATCCAAACTCAAAGGCCCACCTAGTTTGGATATGTCTGTGAGTCATGAACCAGTACTCCTTGAATCGCATCATTAGCTAGCTCTGTGAACATCTGTAGGTCCCGGGTCACAAACAATGAAAGGTATCGCTTGTCTTTTGCACAATCTCCTGAAGATGACACACTTAATGCTGAGTGAGGCGAGGCATGTGGAGGCAATGTCAGAATACATAAATAAAAATTCAGTATAAAGATCAGTAAATATGATGAAGGATGGAATTGGACTCACAAAATCTGCTTCAAGTTTGCCCATTTCTTGCTTGTAGCTCCTCATTCTGTTGCTGTACATTCCTCGACTCTGGGGTGGTATCTCTCGGACTTCCAAATCCATCTGCTCAAGCTGACAGGGTAAGAGCAAAACGTCATTTAAACCACATGCTTACTCTTCATTGGACCAGATGTTCAGAGTGGAAAGGATTTCATTTCAATTCTTCATTTTACAGTTGAGGAACCAGGTCCAGGGAGTTACCTGCCTGGGATTGAATAATATTGGGACTACGTTTGTGCTTAATTTTTGTTTAGGTGAACAAATAGTTATTGAGTGCTTGCCAAGTGACACATAGAACACCAAAGTACTTACTTTCTCGGGAATTTCTATTAAAACACATGCATTAATCCAAACATCCTTAATAATAATGATTTTAATATGCTTGAAGTATCCCATCATTCAATCCAACCGGGTCAGGTGTTTTGAGCCCAAACCACCAGGACTCTGGGGAAGATAAACCAAGCCGTTATTTCCAACCTTGAGCACACTGTGTCTGCCTAGCCTTAGTCATTTGGTAAAAATTCTTCTAGAAAGTCTTTTCTGATTAGGAAAATCACTTACTAAGCAATATGTGATCTCATCCTCCAGCTTCACTTCTTACACTTTATGGCCACGTTGATTTGGAGTTAAATGGATACAGTAAAATGTTAAATTCTACAAAGCTCCCTGAAATCACAGCAGGGCACTTTTTAACAACCTGTCATCATAGAACACTTCAAATACAACACATGAGCATCTAATGGGAGGCAATACAGAAATATTATGATGGTTAAGAAGACAGGCTTTTAAGTCAGATGCCTGCGTTCACACTCATTTAGGACCACTGTGCAGTAACCAGTTAAATCATACTTGCAATATTTGGCTTTTAAAACAAAAAATTGGGGTACAATATTTTTTGCTCCCTGTGAATATATTTATATATAAAAAATAATGGATTATTTAGAGCTCTGGGTTTAGCATATACTAGTACAGATACAAATTCTTACTCCACCACTTATTGGTGTGGACCTCAGACTGGTTACTTAATCTTTCTAAGCCTCAGTATTCCCATCTATAAAATGGGGGGAGGTGCATAATCACAGTGTTGAAAATCACTCCTCCGTGATTTTCTCAGACTCCTGTAAGTCTTTCTGGGCATGCCAAGAATGCAAGGCCCTAACCACTCTTTCCCCTGGACATTTCTCAAGTTAGTATTATATTTGCAGGGAGCAATGTTGGGAGAGGAACTTCTGGGACGAAGGGAAGGCTTGCTTACAGGCTGCTGTAAAGCAGTATGTTTCTCAGGCTCCATGTTCCTCTCCTGTAAAACATTCCACTGTATGTGTGGGTGTACATCTGGGCCACCTCTGCCACTCCTGTGGGAACTGGGGCTCAGGGAACTCATACAAGGATGCTCAAACTCTGGCAGCTGCTTAAGAATTTCGCGTCTTCTATTATATTAGCATCCATGAAATTGTGGCACACTCACTTATTAGTGAGCAAGTAGAAAAAAATCTCAGATCCTTAACAGTTTTGACAAATAATAATTGTCTCCCAGAGTTTTTAAAAAAATTAATATTATTAATATTATGAAACAAGTAATATGCTTATCCCAGTGTCTGGTACCCAGTATGCTTTTAACAAGCATTGGCTATTGACAGCTTTTATTAAATGTATTATAAGGCATAAAAATTAGGATATTTAATGAATTCTGGATATTCTCATCTTTATTAAAAAAACCGAACTCCCAAGGAACTATTAAATTCTCTTCAATTTAAAAACGAATGAATTTTAAATTATAAATTGCTAATTAGTCATTTTACATTTCTGCAATAAAACAGGCTAGTGGAAGGAATCAGCTTAAATGACTCTGGTTGTGTGTTAAAATATATTACCGAGTCTGTACATACCAGTTCTTTTGCTTCTTCAAGCTGTTTCTCCACATTTGCAACCATCTGTTTCTTCTCATCTGAAACAGACAATTATATCAGAAAAATGCTAAGAAAATAAATAAATTTAATATTTTAAAACTTTTATTTTTCTATACCTTTTTCCTTTCTGATCAAGCAAATTACCAGGTAACTGACCATATTATTCTTTGGTTAGAAACCACTCTAAAATTACTAATTCTAGACTATCTGGAAATACATAATCTTATGGAGTACCTAGAGATTAAGGGATGACAGAACATTTTAAAAAGAAACCAAAAATTATTTTGTTCTTTAGAAGATACTGTGTCAAAATAGCAGTTTTAGTGGTGGCATGAAGAATTTGCAAAATCTTCACTATAATGAATTGGGAATAACTGATTTACAGATACAATTTAAAAGTCACAGGCAAAAGCAATTCCTAAAACTGGACAAGATCTTAACAGTCCCCAATGTGGGGTGTGCAGCAGGCAGCCAATCAATGATTCTCTCTCAGCATTGATGTTTCCATTTCTCTCTCCCTCTCCCTCTGAAATCAATAAAACAAACAAAGATATATATAAATAATAAAAATTAAAAATAAAATACAAAACTGTACTTCCATTAACACTAAAGATGGGTGAAATGAAGGAAATATTTGAAGTTAGGATGACTGATTGCAAACCCAAAGTCACTACCTACTCACTGATTATGGAATATTGGGTAAGAACACTCTGTACTCTCAAAAAAATGGAGATGAAAAATGCCCTCTGCATTATCTTTAGTTTAAATAAGCTGATACAAGTGAAATTACTTTTAAACTGTGAAGTGCTCAGTCTCTGTATGTGGTTTATTCAAACTCTACCAAAACCAAGTTATAACGGAACCAGAATCCCCTTTTTCGGGAGAGACATCCTGGCAGGTGTTTTCAGAAAAAGCCCACCGTCCCCCACCCCCCATTCCAAACCATTTGTTCTGAGACTGCACTTAAGTTTTGTGCTAACCAAATTTATTGAACATGTATCATTTTGTCTGCCTAGCACCCTTCTTAGGCAATAACTCCCACCCTTTGAGACTGTCCTCCACCACACAGGTCAGTGGGAGATGCTGTCTCCTTCATGATCCTGCCTCTCCTAGTCACAGTGACTAGGCAAGAGATAGGCTCCTCATCCTAGATAGACCAATCCTAGTAGCTCAATCCAAGCCGACCAAGCAAAGTGCTGGAGCCATGGGAAAGTCTTTTCCTCTCCCTTGGTAGAGAACAGGCATTTAGAAGCTGTTGGCATCCATTGGCCTAGCTACAAAGAGCAAGCATCAGTGGTTGAAAATGAAGCCTACCTTTAGAAAGAAACAAAGCTGAGAGGTAGACAGACAGACAGACAGACAGACACAAATGGATTAGAGTTAGTTAATTAGTTTCTGGTTCCAGATAATTCTGAAATAGACTAGAGGCCCGGTGCCCAAAATTCATGCACTGGGGGGCGGGGTGTCCCTCAGCCCAACCTACACCCTCTCCAATCTGGAACCCCTCAGGGGATGTCCTAAAGTGGCAGTTGGACATCCCTCTCACAATCCAGGACTGCTGGCTCCTTGCCTGCCTTCTGGCCTGATCACCCCCTAACCACTCTCCTGCAAGCCTGATCCATGCATAACTGCTCCCCTGCTGGCCCGATTGCCCCCAACTTCCCTCCCCCTGCAGACCAAGTCACCCCCAACTGCCCTCCTCTACAGGCCTGGTTCCCCCCAACTACCCTCCCCTACAGGCCTGGTTGTCCCCAACTGTCCTCCCCTGCCAGCCTGGTTGTCTCCAACTGCCCTCCCCTGAAGGCCTGGCCCCCACTAACTGTCCTCCCCTCCTGGCCTGGTCACCCCTAACTGCCCTCCCCTGCCAGCCTGGTCGTCCCCAACTGCCCTCCCCTGCTGGCCTGATCACCCACAACTACCCTTCTCTGCTGGCCATCTTGTGGTAGCTATCTTTGACCACATGGGGGTGGCCATGTTGTGCAAGGGCATGAGGATCAATTTGCATATTACCTCTTTATTACATAGGATTTTGCTTGACTTTTCATGGTTAAGTTTCTTGAACAAACAAGTTTCTTTTTCTTTATTTAAAGTTGGGTTTCTGTGACAAGGAACCTGATGATTACTGACTGACTCATACAACAGACTTTCTGTTGTGAAGCTTGAGATGGGTATAACACCTAAGAGCTAAAAAGCCCTTCAGAAGGACAGTCAACACCAAGTGGAGAGAGATAATTTTTATTTAATCTTGTGGCTATCACATACATAGATTTTTTGCATGTACTCCAGCCCATGCCACGGACCTCCAGGACTAAGGGACACCAGCATTTCTCATTAACAAAGGAAAACAAAACAAGAAGCCCCCCTTGATCTCATCCCTTTTGCTACTAACATCTCTCTCCTTCCAGCTACAGTCACATTTCCCTCCCTCTTCCCCCATTCCTCCGTGTACTCCCCCCCCCACACACACACCCCACCTTCCTACTGAGGTGACTCTCTCAAGACTATTGACCTTTGTTTGCACAAACTAATGGACATTCCTTGGTTCTATTTTTATTCAATCTTGAGGCATCTTCCATTATGCTCCTCCCATCCCATCACTTTCTCCTCTCCTGGCTTCAGCGACACCCTGACTCTGTGACTCTCCTGAACACTCACTTCCATCTCTGTGTCCTCTGCTGGGCACCCTCTTCCTCAGCCCATCCTCTAACCACCATTGTTCCTCTGACCCCACCACTCCCCGACTCCCTCCTTAATAGCCAGTTAAAATCCAATTCCAATGTCATATCCCAAAACCCCTGATCATTGGTCTCCTTTCAAGTGTAGGTGTCCATCCAGAAAGATTCATCTCACTCTAGTCTTGGCACAGACAGGAAGCAAGAATTGAGGCCCAAGGTTCCTTTAAAAGTTCAATTAATATAACGAAGTCTGAGGAGCTGAGTCCTTTCAGCAGTAGCAATAACATTCATCACTAATGGCTAATTCCTGTATTTTCTCTGAAGGAAAAAATGTGCTAGTATGTCACATGTTTTATTTCATCTGATTTTTACAACACTGTAACTTTGAAACTAATACCCATTTCTTCCACAGTTTTACAGATGGAGGAAGCAGGCTTAGAAAGACAAGGCAACTGGCCCAAAATTGCACATCTGGTGAGTAGCAGAACTGGGACTCTCGACAGATCTGATGCCATGTGTGACTCTTAACCAATTTGCCATAATACCTTTCTTGGCATTTCTGATTTACAGCCACAAAGTGAATGGTGAGGTATGCAACTAACCGCAAGAGAACATTCCATTAGGTCCTTCGGGAAGCCTGCCTGTTGTAATGGGACCTCCACACCTATATATAGTCCTGCTAACTTAGAATTCATCCCCAGAGGGGGAAGAACTCTATGGTTAGTATTAGTAATGGTTTCCACTCATCCATTTCCCTGGCTTTACCACAGAACACTATCATTAAAACCAAATGTCAAAAACAGTGCCATAGAGCATTACCTAAGAATGGACTGATCCATCTCGTTAGTCCAATTTATAAAGTTAGTTAAGATTCAAACACTTTAGTGTAAGAGCAAAGTCTTTTTATTGTTGAAAACATAGCACAGAGCAGTCAAATTTCTGTTTTAAAATAAAGTTTTAAAATAGTCATTCTTTTCTATTCTCTTTGGAAGTAGCACTTTAATAGATTGTACATGCACAGCAGAGTGATTTCATTGCCATCAGTCCTACTCACTCGACTTCAATTTAAATAAGTTAATACGTTGAAAAATGAATTGCTTTGACTAAGAAGTTAGCTCCAACTTTTAACCTTTTTAAATGAAGTAAATTACAATTCCTCTCCTCTGGGTCAACCACCAATAATGCCCAGAGAAAGATATTATAGTTACCTTTTAATCATACTGTTTTGCCATATTAATTTCAGTCAGTTCATAGACATACATCTGAAATTCATTACTACCTAGATATAATTTCTTTTTTTTTCCTATTTATCAATTAGAAACAGATTATAAAGAAAGCAAGTACAAGTAATTATTAGAAGGGAAACAACTGCATTTTTAGGAATAACTAGTATTCAATTATTTAAGTCAGCAAGCATTCTTCTAGTGCCAGACACACAGTCTCCTTTCAATTTCGATATATCTGCTGTGTTTGAGCCTCACAGTATCGGAGAGCTAAGGAGAATTACAGCTTTCTTTTTAAGATACTTAATCCCAATGTTTCCTTCTGTGTGGCAAGAATGGTTACATTAAAATTTAAAGACAAGAAAAAACAAATTCTTGGAAATAGTTTTTACAACTTTGAACTCAGGGATGATTTTATTACTTTATAACACAGCTTCCCAGTACAAAAGCAATTCTCTCAAACAACAACAACAAAAAGTGTTTCTACTGCTAAAACTATTATATTACAATTTAAAAGGAGAACAAATCTAACTGAAACCACAAATCCCCATATTCTGAGGCTCTGGGGCTGAAGTCAAAGGAAGGAATCTCCAATAGCAAAGACAACAAAAATCAAGATGATCTTGGGCAGTGGAGAAAAACAGAACTGAAGAGAAGAGGCAAGGTGATCAGCGACTTTCTCCACAAAAATCTCTGGGGCAGCAGAGCTTGGAAGTATATGCTATCTTGGGTCTCTCCTCTTGTTCCCTCACTTGGACTCAAAAACCTCTTTAGGACATCATCCATCTCCTGCAGAACTAACTGGGACTTCAGGAGATGAGTGGGGTATAAGTTCAGAGATCCTGGCTTCAAGCAAATATCCCTATTAATAGAAAAATAGGTAGGGGAAGAAAAAACAAAGAAATAAAGGAAAATATTATTTATAAACACATAAGTTTGGGGGGAGGGGAGGGAAAGGGAAGAGGAATAACAACTTAGGTCCAGGGGAAATTATTATTGGCCTCAAGGACTGACCAACAAGGTGAGACAGTGAAGTTACGTACCAGTTCTTATGTCAATGAAAGCTCCTTTCCCCATACTTTACACCCAGAGCTAAGGGAGGACCAAATCTAGCATCCTAATACTTCAATTTCCCTAACACAACTAAACCAAAAAGTAACAATCCTATCTGCAAACTACCTCTTCAAATTAAATCTGTATTTAAAGAAAGGTAAATCCTAAAACAATGTCTTACAAAAATAGCCCGGCTGGGCGGCTCAATGATTGAAGGTAAACCTATGAACTAGGAGATCACAATTGATTTCCTGTCAGACCACATGCCCTGGTTGCAGGCTCCATGCCCAGTGTGGGGCAAGGAGGCCCCTGATCAATGATTCTCTCTCATCATTGATATTTTTATCTCTCTTTTCCTCTCTGAAATCAATTAAAAATTACAAAATATCACATTTATATATTTCCTTATTCAATCATCTGATCTCAGCCCCTTCTAAATAAATGCCAATGAATCAAACATACTAGTGATTTCCGCATTCACATAGTTGACAGTCTAGCATAAAAGAAAGATGTGCTAAAAAACAAACAAAAATAAACAGCTCAAAAATAAAAAACACGTCTGGATGGAAGTTGTGGAATTTTAAACGTGAGAGAAAATGTTCTGTACCAAGTTTTTTGTAACATTGGGGTATGGTCCCCCTCACCTCCAGGAGAATGAGAAATAATAAATGGGTTTGGGGCTACGAAAAAATACTAATGATAGTAGCAGAAATACTTTACATATGTGAAATAATTTAATCTTCCCAACAACCCTACAATTCTCTCCATTTACCAAGAAGGAAAGTTGAAAGAGGTTAAGAAACTTGCCTAAATGCCAAAAGTTCTAAGTAGCAGAGTGGGATTAGGCACCATGGCTCTTAATCCTGTTTTGCTGCATTTAATACCACTGTCATTACTAATATAATAAACAACGTGAGACCCCCCCCCCCCGCCCCCTCATCTTTGTGCATTGATTCATTCTTTTTGAACATTCTCACATCCCTATATATTACAAACAAAAAACAAAACAAACAAACAAAACAAAAAGCAAGACTCAGAGAAACATTTCCAAGAGTATGCAAGTATGCCAAAACCGGTTTGGCTCAGTGGATAGAGCATCGGCCTGCGGACTGAAAGGTCCCAGGTTCGATTCCGGTCAAGGGCATGTACCTTGGCTGCGGGCATATCCCCAGTAAGGGGTGTGCAAGAGACAGCTGATCGTTGCCTCTCTCTCATCGATGTTTCTAACTCTCTATCCCTCTCTCTTCCTCTCTGTAAAAAAAATCAATAAAATATTTTTTTTAAAAAAAGAGTATGCAAGTAATCTAGCGGCGGAGTACAGGCTGGAGCCCAGAAGGGCTCTTTCTACTGCACCCCAGAGCCCAGCTCGGGGTCTGACTACTGCGCCTCGGAGTCCAGTTTGAGCTGTCAACCAAGTCACAAGCTCCATCGCGGGAGGGCCCCAGCACCCCCTCACCCCAGCCTCGCGCCTACGAGGCACCCTAGTGCAGACGCGTTCCATCGCCGGCACCCTCCGCGGGCCACCCCAGCAGGACAGGGCTCTCACCTGGGGGCAGTCGGGGGACCCTGGCGATCTTGCTTGTGATCTCTGCAGTGAGCACCGCGAAGTCCTGCTCGAAGCCTTCGAAGTCGGACGACATGGCGGCTCCGGAGGGACGGGCCAGGCCGGAGCCTAGGTCGCGGCAGGGAGAGCGCGGAACCGGGGAACGCAGTCTACGAACCCTGGGACCTGCCCTGGAGATCAGAACGGAGAGCCGGAGACAGCTCCCAGCCCTGCCGCTTCCTGGTTGTCCGTCGCAATCTCGGTCCCCCCGGAAACTGGGTCGGTACGCTTTTTCAGTTCCCTTTCTGGCTTCCACATGAACAAAATGCTCTAAGGAAAAGTACTTTAATTAGTGCCTGCAAGAGCCCTTTCAAAGTAGTCGTCTTCTAAGGAATTCCTGAAAGATTTTTTTAACCCCTCCACGTCGTGGAAGCGGCTCCAGCGCTCCAAGGTACAGGTCACGGGAGCGTGCTTCCGGGGGGAAGTTTGATGCGGCGAACTTCCCGGAAGTGACTGTCAAGGAGACTGCGCACCGGGCCAGAGCGGGATTCCAGCGGCAAAAGCGCCCGGCGGAGACCGACTTGTGGTCTCGGGTCCCGCACTCCAGCCTCCAGCAACCAGAATTTGCGTTCTGCTTGTTCTGGACTGAGGTACTCATGCTGAAGTTACTCGAGAAGGAGATAATGTGTTCCGGGTAAGCCCAGATCGCTCCGGAAATGCGATGGCCCAGGAGCGGGCATCAAGGACCAGACCGAGGTGGGAGTCTGTAACCAAGGCTGCAGGTGTAACCATCACTTTGGCGGTCTCCGGTCCACCCGAGTGTGGCCAGAATCTCTAGTGCTTTGGGACCAGCCACGCTGACCAGGATGTGCCTACCCTGAGCGAGGATTTCTAAGAACTCCACTCCATGACACAGGCGGGAAACTGAGGCACGAGGCAGCGGCATCTGTTGCGTGGAAGTCTTTATTACCCTACACCTTAGAGCTTCTTCCCTTGATCCACTGCAGTTCCATCAGGAATACCCGTCTCCAAAGCTCCCCGGATCTCGCTGCGGAGGCAACTTCCTCCTCTTTTGTTCTGAAATATTCTCATTCATGTTCTTTTTTTCATAAACGCCCCCAGTCGTGATTTCACACACAGTTCTCTCTCCTCTCCTTGCAATGATCTTTGCTTTCACTCTCTCGCTTCCTTACATTTGGCCCAAATAGGCCCTTACGTTGGTGTTTTGGGGCAACCACAGGCAAATAATGTGAACCATGTCTGGCTCATACTTGACTTAATTCGAGACTGGGTAAGAGATAGTTTAGAACTCCAAAGGGAGTCGAATGGCTTGGTTAAGCTCTTACATTTGACCTGAATTTAATCACCAGGCTCTCCAAGCCAATTTCTTTTCTGTAAGGAAGCTGGATTAGAATAGCTAAATCTCTGCTTCCCAGCTCGAAAATCTTTGTCTCCTAAAGCCATTCACTAGACGTTGGATAATCACAGTCTCCAGACAATCAGTTTACATGCCATTTAGATTTGAACCCTATTTTGGATAAGATAAAAATAGATGTTTTGGTTGGATGTTTGTTTTTCACATTTGACAAGCTATCATGGTAGTGCACTGGTGAGACGATTTTGTTTAGGTGGTTATCAGAGTTAAGTCTAGTATGTAATAAATTTTTTTACTGAACTTTCTCATTTTGTTTTCTTTAGATTGGGTTTCAACCCAAGATACTGGATTCTCCTAGTTCAGATGAAGAGCTCTGAGCATGTAACAGTGAACATGGCATAATCTGCATTCACATCGCACAGACTGAAGACATGACCGCTAAGGAACACACGTGGACTTGTGGCACATGGATATGTGTGCACAAAAAAAGGAAATCTATACTTCTTTAAAGATAGGAAGACGTTCTTCCTCACCAACATGGGTACCTTCTGCTCAGTTATCAAGTTTGAAAATCTCCAAGAATTAAAGAGACTGTGCCACTGGGGGCCCATTATAGCCCTCGGTGTCATAGCAATATGTTCTACGATGGCCATGATTGACTCTGTGTTGTGGTATTGGCCCTTACATACAACTGGAGGAAGCGTGAATTTCATCATGTTGATAAACTGGACTGTCATGATTCTTTATAATTACTTCAATGCCATGTTTGTTGGTCCTGGCTTTGTCCCTCTCGGGTGGAAACCGGTAAGAAAAAGATCGCTTTAGAATTTAGATGATGAATTCTAATGATAACCTAATGATAATTTAGTTTTTGCCTTATCTTCTAACCAATAATATCTAACACACTCTGCTTTTTTTGCTGTAATAGGGACTAAGTGCATTGCAATTACTGGTCATTTAAAGCTTAGATTATTTATTTCATGCCTATTTTGAAATATTGATCTAAATCGGTATTTCCCAGAGCATTTTCATTGAATACTTGTCTTGCATTGAGAAAAAATAAAATGATCATGGAGGGGTGGTGATGAGATCATGGTCATAAGTTTAGGAAACAATGCGTATCACATGCACTTATTTATGATTTCACAAGGTAGTTTGGTTCTATAATCTTTTTACATGAAATTAACATTCCCAGAACTGAGAAAAACTTTAGAAACTGTTGGTTTAAGTCATAAAGTTTTAAAATCATTGCAGTGAAGATTGGGAAGTACAGTATGAATCAATTTATGGGTCTTTAAAATTTTTAGAAAGTCTATGCTTATGAATTTCTATATTTTTGGTTGAGGGACAAACCTTGGTAGCAGAATCTTGAGCCCCCACTCAACTGAGTCAAAATCTGCATTTAGTGAAATCCCAGATGATGTTAAAATTGGAGAAATACTAGTGTACTGTATTAAATAAAGATTTTTCATATTCTGAAAAATCTTTATTTGTAACTGAGGAGAAAAACCAAGGCACTTTAGAAAATAAACACAGAGTAGAATATGATGAGTGCTGGTGAAGTTAAAAGGAACTGATCATTTTCATTTGGGAATCTTTGGGAAGAGTGGCAATTTCCACAGAATGTGGCATTTCAGGATTTCAGGTTGAGTGCATATTCAGAAACAATGGGCAGATTATGTAGTGCAGAGAAGGCTGGAAGAAAGGCAGATTATGGAAGAATATTACACATTCTCAAACACATGAGAAATTGTTAGACCATAGGGAGTTCTTAGAGGTCTTCAGGCAGAGATCTGACATAATCAGAATTGTGTTATAGGAATATTATGAATATCAACTCTGATGTCTGAATCTCCTACTCTAAATACCTGCCACGTTGCCAGCTACCTTTTTCCCTGAACTTCAATTCTACTAAGATTTTGTATAAGTAGAGCCAACTGTACTCAGTGGTAATGGACTAGGATGGCACATAGGGAAGAGAAATTAAAAATGACTTCTGGGTAATTGGGAGAGTGATGGTGTGGTGCTGTTACCAGAAATTTTATACTTAAAAATATTTTAACTCAAATGAAAGGATTAAAAGTGTAAGATAAGTTTCCACCACCTCTCATGAAAGAAAATTAAACCATAGGAAAGCATCTCTCTGTATATAAGGCTAAAATGTAAAGTGTCCCCTCGGGAGATGGGGGGAGTTCAATCACTCGCTATGACATGGGCTGACCACCAGGGGGCGGCACAGAATGAAGGAAGGCCCAGATAGGCTCTCAACACCTAGGGACCCTACCCATGCACAAATTTTGTGCGCTGAGCCTCTAGTTTATTCATAAGGCTTGTTATTGTTTAGGACTAGAGGCCCAATGCATGAAATTTGTGCAAGAGTAGGCTTTCCTTTTCTCCCCTCCCCCCCTCCCCCCCCCCCCCAAGATGCCAGCAAACACCCAGGACCCAGGCTCCCCTCCAGCCACTGGCAGGTACCCGAGACTCGGGCTTTCCTCACAGACCTGGCTTTGCCCAGAAGGTTGTCTGGTCTAATTAGCATATTATTATAGATAGCATATTAGCATATTATTAATTAGCATATAGAATTAGCATATTATTATAGATTGGTTATCTTATGTGTTTTTTTGTTTATGTTTTGCTGCCAAGGAAAATTCTCAGGATAGCATGTACCTCCAGTATTGTCAAGTCTGCCAAGCATACAAGGCACCTCGGTCACATCACTGTCGAAAGTGTAACAGGTACTGTCTGTCTTTGCCATTCACTTTAGGGACTGATCACTTTGACAAGGGGTCTTTTGTTCTTTCTTCTGTGTCAATCCTAATTTCATTCTCTGCAAGGTGGCTACTTTATAAACAATATTGTCAAAATACTTGTGTCCATAATCTCCATATTATTCTTAAATCATCAATTCTGATAATAAATCCCCTTTGTTATATGTGAAAAGACTTTTCTAGAAAAGTACAGATTAACAAGAGCATGGTTGAAAGTCATACCTGCAAATTGTTGCCATAGATCACAAATTAACTGTGCTTGTTGACTGTCATCTTGACTAGCTTTTGAATTGTTCTGAGTCTAATTATAGAGGAGAGCTGCTTTTTTCCCCTTTATTTAGTTGACTAACTTTTACTTACACTATACAAATTTAATAAATAATCCAGGTGCCTATTATCACAGTATTTATTGATAATATGCAAAACTTACTGAGAGGAAAACTGAGTCACTATAAAAATATGAAATAAGCTAGAACCTTTAAAAATGAGCAGCTATATCCACTTCTTAAGAACTTTTGATGAGAGTATTGAGGTTTAGGGGAAGTGTGGAGACAAATAAAGTTGACTTGAGGACAGGAAATTTTCTAGCAATAAAAGGGAAGGAAGCTCGGTAAGATTTTGCTTATTACACCACATCTTATTTTCAGTAGTGGCTTGTTTATTAACTTAGAGGTTCCACATCTAAAGGATGAGGACAGGAAGGAAGTTACACACGTATCTGCTAGGTCCCATCAACCCCAGTGGAGATTTGTAAGTGATTTTGTTGAGTCTCTATTGTACTTCACTTCAGTCTCTGCATTTCAGAGCTGGAGGAAAGCCAGGAACTCTACTCATTTCTTTATAATGAACCGCTCAGTGGGCCTCCTGACTTCTTTAAACAAATTCATAAGGAGCAGACATCTTTTCATCAGAAGCTGTTTGAAAACCTGCCCTTTCTTGCCCTGTTTAGAATTTAAAAGAAGTCACTGTTCAGAGTTGTTTAAAAACTCATAAAGATGTTTCTTTTTGTTTCATGAATTATAATTTCTTTTCTTTTTTATTTATGAACATGCTGGATTCCTATTTGCTAGGTCTTTTTTTTTTTGTTTTTAATCCTTACTTGAAGCTATGTTTTTAATGATTTTAGAGACAGAGGAAAGGAGAGAGAGAAACATCGATGTGAGAGAAAAACATTAGTCGGTTGCCTCCTTTATGTGTTCCAACCAGGGATCGAACCCACAACCTAGTTATGTACTCTGACTGGG